GGGATCTTAGTTCCCCGACCAGGGATCAAACCCACGCCCCCTGCAGTGGAAGCTTGGAGTCCTAACCACTGGACCGCCAAGGAAGTCCCATTCATCCCTTCATCTTGATCATCACTGTCTTTCTAACATCTCATGTTCTCTCTCTCTAGAGATACCCTCCCCCTAGGTTACCTTATGTATATATTTGGTGTCAACTACCACCTCTAGGTCCTATAACAGGAAAACTTTCAAATGTGTAACTGTGTTCTATTTAACACTTGTGACTCTTGTCTGTGCTAGGTGGTAGGGATGCAGTGCTTTGAAAGACATGGTTTGGGCCCTCACAGAACTTATAGTTTGAAGGGAAGACAATCTTCAGCAAATACATCCAAAAAGTTTGGATAAGTAGAGGGAGTTCCCTGGTGGCCTAGTGGTTGGGATTCCAGGCTTTCGCTGCCACAGCCCGGGTTCAATCCCTGGTCGAGGAACTGAGATCCCACAAGCTGTGGGGTGCTGCCCAAAAAATGGTTTGGATAAGTAGAGTGATAAAGGAAGTACAAGGCATTGCCTTGTGGGAGCAGAGAACCTCTCCAAGGAAGTGACCCTTAATCTGTGACCTGAAAGATGACAAGGAGTTAATAAAGCAAAAGGGACAAGGTAAAAGCCAGAAAGAGACTATGAAGAGATGTGGTCAGAGTTAAATGGTGGAGGGCCTTGGAAGGCATGACATGGGGGTTGAACTTTTTCCAAAAGAGAAATGAAAAACCTAGAAGGGGTTTTTAGCAGGAAAGTGACATGTCAGAATTGCTTTTAAAAGTGGCTCTGTTAGCAGCTTGAAGCCTGGATTGAATTTTAGCAAGAACAGAGGCAGGGAGAACAATGAGAAGGCTGCTGCAGTGGCCCAGGTAAAAGATGATGGTGGTGCCCTGGACTTGGGTGGCAAAAGAGGTGAGTGATTACAGAGCTATGTTCAAGGTAGAATCAATGGAATTGATCATTGGTTGGACAGAGTGGAAGATGAGGAAGATGGATTTGAGGATGATTTCTAGGTTTCTGGCTACGATAACTGGTTGAATGGTGTGTCGTTTACTGAGATAGTTTGGTTAGGATGGAGGGTAAGCAAAATGATGGCTTTAGTTTTGAATATTATAGCAAACACTGCTAGTTGCCTGCCCAGTAACCATATTACCTCCTCCTTTCTAAGAGAATCCTAAATTTGTTCAGGAATCTACTCCTCTATACATACCTTTGCTTCAGAGCAGCCAGCCCCTCCACTGTCTTCAAGGAATGCATTTCATTTTATTATTCTTTTTATTGAAATATAGTTGATTTACAATGTTGTATTAGTTTCAGGTGTACAGCAAAGTGATTCAGTTATACATATATATCTGTCTATTCTTTTTCAGCTTCTTTCCCCTTATAGATTATTACAAAATATTCCTCGTGCTATACAGTAAGTCCTTGTTGGTTATCTATTTTATATATAGTAGAGTGTATATGTTAATCCCAAACTCCTAATTTATCCCTCCGCCCTCCCCCTGCAAAGGAATGCATTTTAAATAAGCTAAGACAATCATGGCTGTCAGTATTTGTTTCAGGCATGCAAATGTGATACAATTCTGTCCAATGGGATGAAGGGAAGGCTGCCCAGTGTTTCAAGAAAAGGTTTTATCTTAAAAGGAGAGTATACTCCTGAATGCTTGTTGTTTGAAGCCACAGAAATTTTAGAGGTTGTTATAGTAGCGTAATCTAGCCAAAGCCCGGCTGACACAAATAACTGAAACTGCTGCAGCCCTCTTATGAGGCATTAACCACCAAGAGAGTTTGCCTGAGACAGAACCAAGCTGACATGCAGAGATTAGCAAAGCAAATGATGGAAAGAACTTGAATTCTTAAGATATCTTTGAGCTACTGACTTAACCAAGCCTGGAGTTACTTTTCCTCTGAATCTCTTATTGCATTAGATAACAAATTTCATAGAGTTTCAACCAGTTAAATTGGGTATTTCTGTTACTTGAAGTCAAAATACCTTGGCTAAAATAGACTAATAGCCTGAAAAAGGAATGAAATCCTAACACATGCTACAGCAGAGGGGAAGACAGAGGGCAGTGGGGAGTGATTATTCCTCTAACGGAGAGTGATTTAACACCACCACTGGCTATGTGACAGATAAGCTAATTTGCCCAAATCACCAAGCTTGGGTTTTTCCACGCACATTCATTTGGTTGCTTGCACATGACAACAGCGGCATTTGTTGGTTATGGGATTCAAAGGCCTGCGCATTGCAGTCACTAAGAGAACACAAACAGCTCAAGGTGGGACCTGACAGCCAGTTCAGCACCTTTCACCTCATCAATGACCACAAGGCAGAGGAGTCCAAAGGATGATTTCTTTCAGCCCATGGCTGCCACGAAGGCTTGATGTGGTATTGGATCAGACTAAATGCACATCGTTTACTTAAACTGCTGGTATTCCTTCCATCTCAGATCTGTGGAAGCCACTGAATGTGATGGAAATGTGGTCTTACAGCTAAAACAGCGGTCTGGAGCCTGTGGCTGGCTGGTTTTATTTTGAGGATTAAAGGGGATCTCCATCAAGCCTCTTTCTTTTATTCTGAACCTCAGTTTCCCAAATATAGGAAGGAGAATTCACAGCAGCTTGAGGTAGTGGCAAAAATCTGGGCTTCCTGCTCAGACACGCCAGGATTTGAGTCAGCTTCAGCACCATCTAGTTATATGACCTTCGGTAAGTTACTTAACTCTTTGAGACTTGGTTTTTCCATCTATAATATTGGAATAATAAGAAATACCTGTTTATGTAACTACTTCATTCATTCAACAGACATTTATTATTGGGTGTCTCCTACGTACGAGGCAGTGCCCTAGATCTGAGTCCACAAAAGTGAGTGAAATAGACATAGCTCCTGTTCTCATGGAGCTTATGCTCTGTTGTGAGAAATAAATAACAGACACAAAGCACTTAGTACTGTGCCACTGTGCCTGGCTTTTAACAAGTACTCGGTAAATGTTTTGAGTTGACCAGAAATGTAATTATTGAAATTCAGTACCATTTTGATGTGCATGACCTCCTTTCTCATGCTCCCTCTCCTACCTCAGGGCCTTTGCACATGATATTGTCTGTCTGGGTTGTTCTTTCCTCAGCTATTCACATGCTCCCTCTCTCACTTCATTCGTATCTATATTCAAATCTCGCCTTCTCAGAGAGGCCATTCCTAATCACTTACTAAAACAGCCCTCCACTCCTACCACATTCTACCCACAGGATCCTTTCAAAGGATCTATCTTGCTTTAAACCCATTCTTGATGGGTTTGAAAATCCTCCGTTAGTGATAAATTCCTCTTAGATTCAGGGCAAATTTTTGTACTAAAGTCTCTACAATGTAATCGTATCATAGAATTACATTTCAATATAATCATATTTCTAAAGATAGGTTTCAAAACACTTTAAATAACATAAGAATGACCGGGACTTCCCTGGTGGTGCAGTGGTTGAGAATCCGCCTGCCAATGCAAGGGACACGGGTTCGAGCCCTGGTCTGGGAGGATCCCACACGCCGCCGGGCGGCTGAGCTCTTGCGCCACAACTACTGAAGCCCACGTGACTGGAGCCCATGCTCCGCAACAAGGAGGGGCCACCGCAATGAGGCCCACTCACTGCAATGAAGAGTGGCCCCCACTCGCCACAACTGGAGAAAGCCCATGCACAGCAATGAAGACCCAATGCAGCCAAAAATAAATAAATAAATAAATTTTTTAAAAAGTAAGAATGACCAATAAGCATATGAAAAGATGCCCGGCATCCCTAGTCATCAGGAAAGTTTTTTATTTTTTTTAATTTTTATTTATTTTTGGCTGCATTGGGTCTTCATTGCTGCGCGTGGGCTTTTCTCTAGTTGCAGCGAGCGGGGGCTACTCTTCGTTGCGGTTGCTCGGGCTTCTCATTGCGGTGGCTTCTCTTGTTGCGGAGCACAGGCTCTAGGCGTGGGCTTCAGTAGTTGTGGCATGTGGGCTCAGTAGTTGTGGCTCGCAGGCTCTAGAGCGCAGGCTCAGTAGTTGTGGCTCACGGACTTAGCTGCTCTGCGGCATGTGGGATCTTCCCAGACCAGGGCTCGAACCCACGTCCCCTGCATTGGCAGACGGATTCTTAACCACTGCACCACCAGGGAAGTCCCAGGAAAGTTTTTCAAACACTGATTCTATTAAGTGTTGGCAAGAACAGCTAGAATTCTCATACACTGCTGATGGGAATGCAAAATGGCACGGCAACTTTGGAAAACACTTCAGCAGTTTCTTGCATAGTTAAACTATACACTTACAACCCAGCCAACCCACTCCTAGGTATTTACCCAAGAGAACTGAAAACATATATACATATAAAGACATATATGAATGTTCATAGCAGCATTATTCATAATTCATAAATTCATAAAAACTGGTAACAACCTAAATGTCTATCAACTGATGAATGGACAAATAAAATATCATATAGCCATACGATGGAATACTACTCAGCAACAAAAAGGAACAAACTACTGATTCATGCTGCAACATGGATGAAACTCAGAAGCATTATTCTGAGTGAAAGAAGCCAGACTCAAAAAGCTACACACTTGTTCCAAGTATCTGACCTTCCAAAATCAGATGAGTAGTTATCTGGGGCAGGGAGGAGGGGAGAGGGTTGACTACAAATTGGCACAAGGGAATTTTGGGGGGATGCTGGAAGTATCTTGATTGTAGTGGTGATTACACAACTGTATACAATAGCTAAAACTCATCGAAATGTACAGTTAAGATGGGTGAATTTTATTGTATGCAAATTATGCCTTAATAAAGCTGTTATAAAATTTTAAAACATATATATGCATAGAAAATGATTCCATACTTATCTCTTATGGTGGGATTTGGGTGCTTTTTATTTTCTTCTCTTGCCTTATCTAAATTTTGTAAAATTTCCACAATGGAGTATTTGTGTAGAGAGAGAAAAACACCAACAATAAAATGCCAGAAACATAAATAATTGGCTTGTTCAACAAGAAGTCTATTGCTGATTCCATATTGTTTGCTTGCAGTGAAGCCCATTTGGGTCACCTCCTTCTCATCTATCTTTCCTCAGTGGCACTTCTGAGGGCTGAGCTGAGGAAACAGATGCAAAAAGGTACAGAGCTTAACAGCAATGCTTTGTCCATCCAGCTCTCAGTTTGGCTGTCACCTGGATTTTTGGATGAATACACAGAAGACTAATGATAGGGGGGCTGTCATCCTAGTGGCCAACTCTGTCCTCCATTCCAACCTAAGTCAACTCATGTGTCCTCCAGGCCCCAAGAGAAAGTCCTCGGCAGAGGGCTGGGCAGATTATGGTTTTCGGGGTCCAGGCCGGGCATCTGCCTCCAGCTCACATTGGTCTGTGGAGTGCTGCATGGTCTTGGTCAAGTCAAGAGGCCATTCCTCAGGTGCAGACCCACGATTAGAATGATCGCTCATGCTGCAAACGGCAGGACAGGACGCGGAGTCCCTTCAGGAGCTTCGCTGGGGTGGGGACGCTCAGGGTCAACAGGCCTCTGGCCCTTTTCCCCTATCACACATCCAGTTCATTTCCAAACGTGCTGCCTATGAAAGGGCAGTCACCTTAGGCGACCCAACCAGCTTGTAGGCAAAGGATGGCACATGGGGTGAAATCCATATTGCTTGCCCTTGTGTGCCTTGGGGTAACCGGGCAAGGCCCCTGACAGGGCCCAGGTGTTTGTTGGGTCACAGGATTCCAGCCAGAATAATAAACCTACACTTATAAAAATACCTTCGTAAAATATGACCTCATGGAGGGAGCATACAATTTTCTAGCTACTCTAGTCAAGAAGTAAAGCCCAACAGAAGCTCAGAGCAAATGGGGTGGGCACAGGGGAATGAGACAAATCATAGCTTTCCTTGAGCCTCGGCTTCATCACCCATAAATGCCGAGATGGGAAAGATCCTGGGTCCCAACCTGCGGCATCTGTCCTCAGGGCTCACACACACCCTATCTTCAGGAGCTACTTCCAATATCTTAAAACTCCACACATTATTCACAACAGTCAAAATGAGGAAGCAACCCAAATGTCCATCGATGGATGAATGGATGACCGGCATATACATATAATGGAATATTATCCAGCCTTTGAGAGGAAGGAAATTATGCACCTACTACGATACGGATGAACCTTGAAGACATTACGCTAAGTGAAACAAGCCGATCACAAAAGAACAAATCCTGTATGATTTCACCTGCATGAGGTACCTAGGGTAATCACATTCACTGAGACAAAGTAGAATGGTGGTTAGCAGGGGCAGGGAGGAATGGGGAGTTATTTAATGGGTACAGAATTGCAGTTTGGGAAACTGCAGTTTCCAGTTTCTGGAAACAGACAGTGGTGATGGTTACACAGCAATGCAAAGGCACTCAACGCCACTGAACTGTACACTTAAAAATGGTCACATGGTAACTTTTATGTTGTATATATTTTGCCACATACACAAAAAACCAGACATTCCACAGGAACCCACAAGGCCTCTCCCCTCATGAAAGCATCAAGTCATGCCTGATTCAAATCAAATCTGAACCAGCAGGCATAGCCTTTGACAGATTTTTTTAAAAGAAATAACAGTAACAGCAAATATATGCATTATGGCCTAGTGCAGGCTTTTTTTGTTTTGGCAGGCCCAATCTTTCAAAGCATGGCATCTTTGGGGGGAAGTAAAACAAAGGGGCCTTGATAGAAGTTTGGCTTGGGTGAGTGCCCTGGTCTCCCCCCAGCTGTAAAGGCTGTGATTTTGTGGTTGGGGAGACCATGCTAAGGGAGAAACACACACCAGAGGAGAGACCAGACAGTGTCTCCCAACAGATTTCCCCCCTGCCACAGGGACAAGCATTTGGGTTTAAGAGGGCCCTTTCTCTGGTCTATTTTTAGAGCCTGGAGTCAGAGTTCTTTACAGCAAGCAGCCAGGAATCCTCTGGCCTATGTGACACAGAACACGGATACAGCACCAGAAATGGGGCCCACACACGCACTACCTAATGAGGGACAGGATGGCACACCCTTTCCTAAGACCCGCATCCATCACTCCCAGACACCTTGACCAGGGCGGGGTCATGACGGATCTTGGCAGCCTGCTCAGTACATGGGTCATAGAGAGCATACACAGAACAGCTCAGGCCAGATAGTACAAGAGTAAATACAATAGACTCTCATTTCCCAGACCAGGAGCTTGAGGGTGGGGATTCTGGTTCTGTGAGCATTCTGGTTCACCATCAGGCAAAAAGTCTTTGTGGGAATTTCCGGCTCTCCTCCCCAATCCACCTTCCTTGAAAAGAAGGAAGGGGCGTGGGAAGAAACCAGAAGACAAATTCTAACCCAAACCCTGCCCCTCTGTGGCTCACATGGTCCCTTTGAGCCTCAGTTACTTTGTAAAACAGCAACATCTCCTTCAGCCTCATTTGTATGGATCAGATGAGACAGTGTCTGGCGACATGCTTGGAGAACACACTGTACAGTGGCTTAGGAATTTTCTTCTGCCCCTACATCTAGTACTTAGAATGGAGTAAACAGGGTTAAGTCTTAAGTCATCGTGTGTCGATTAAGGAGACTACTGGAGCCTCAGAGTCACATTCTCTGCCCTGGAAATGTTTCTTTTTTATTCACTAAAATTCTGGCAGCAGTGCGTTTTCTATAGAGATGAGGGGGAAATACCCAGTTAACTGCAGATTACTGGAGCCGTGCAAGGATCACAAGGTGATCCCAATTCCTCCCACCTCCTGGAGAGAAGCCTCTCTCTTCAAGGTGATGCAGATATGCTGGGTGAGAGCCAGAGCAAACAAGGGATGGTCCCCATCCCTTTTTAGGGCACACAAGTTATCCATGCCAGGGAGAGGTTTAGCGTTTGCCATCCCAGAGGCCCCAGAAGACACCATAGCTTTGGTTGGCCAACTTCTCCCCTGCAATCCCCTGGAAGGAGCAGGGGAAAGGCCTTGCAGCTCCAGTGAGCAGATGTGTTTCGGAAGGCTGAAACTGGGTGCTATGCCCTCCCTTCCTCCTGTCCATGAATAAATAAACTGATGCTTCTTGTGGCCTTGCAGCTGCCTGTCGCACTGTGAGCTCTCACCTGGGCCGCCGTGATGGCGGTGGGCCCTATGGGTAGAGGAGGGAGGACGGAGACCCACCCTTCTCTGGGCTCAGACCCAGAGTGCCTGAAACTGATGCAGACTCCCCAGGGCTAGTTCCGCAGCTGCTCAGACATGACGTCCTGTAAATGGTACTTTGGGGAGAAGAGAATGGCCCTGGACACTTCCTGGAACAAACAAGACAAACCTACACAGAACACACTATGTTCTGGGAAGGGATCAGGGGAGTGGCTTCAATCATACATACAGGACACCAGGATGTGGACACCAAGCATCCGATGGACAGGCCAGCCTTGCTTTTCGCTTCTTCCCAGCTGCCTAATTAGGATTTCCACTTTTCACTGTGTTCACCTTCCGGGGGTCCTTCTGGAGACAGCTGGAGATGGTCAAAACCATCAGGCACTGGAGGCACACAGACTCCTGTAGGGTTTCCAGCTGAGACTGGGCTAGCCGCATCTCTTCTAACCTCAGTTTCACGTCTTCAGAAGGGGGATGAAAAACCCCTATTCTGAAAGCGTTTTGAGAATTCAGTGAGATGATGCTGGTGGCTTCTACCACACAGAAGGGTTTTCGGGGAACAAGGCTCCTCTCCCCTTACCCTCCTTTGCCTCTGTCTGAGGGGGGAGGTGGCAAAGAAGATTCCACTAGCAACTAACTGCTCACTGTCTTGTATTTGAGAGGGAGGCACATGGTACCCTCTGCTAACACCACACCAGGCCGCTAGCATGCCTGGGTGTCACGTGTCCAGCCGGGGCCCTCGGGTTCAGGGTCCGGCCCTCCATGTCCCACTCAAACGCCCCAGGCTGGTATGGTGAGGGGTGTATGGGAAAAGCCGGGACCCTCGGCGGCCAAGCCAGGGGGGGCCACGTGGCCACTGTGCAGCTGGAGGCGGCCGGGCCTGGGGGTCCCGGTGCTCGAGCCCGACTCGGAGGTTAGGCCCGAGTCGCTGGGCTGCACCTCCACGAAGACCTGCGTGCGCAGGAGCCCGCTGGGACGCCTCCCGGTGGCTCCCCCACGGCGGCGGGCAGAGCTGGGCGCGGAAGGCGGCCTGGAAGCCGCGGCGGAAGTTCTCGTTGAAGTAGCCGTAGATGATGGGGTTGGCGCTGCTGTTGAAGAAGGCCAGCCAGTGAGCTAAGGGGAAGGCGTAGACGGTGACCAGGTGCAGCTGCGGCTCGCTCAGCTGCCCGTAGTCGATGAGCAGCAGCAGGGCCCAGAGAGGCAGCCAGGACAGCGTGAAGAACAGCGCCACCATGACTAGCATGTGCACCACCCGGGCCCTGCGCCGGGCGCCGCGGCCGCCCTCCCCCGCCGCCTCCTCGCCGGTGCGCGCGGGCCCCGGGGCCTTGCACAGCTTGCGGGCGATGCGCGCGTACATGACCACGATCAGCGCCAGCGGCGCCAGGTAGATGTGCGAGAAGAGCACGGCCGTGTAGACCCTGCGCATGCCCTTCTCGGGCCAGGCCTCCCAGCACGAGTAGAGCGGGTAAGAGCGGTTGCGGGCGTCCACCATGAAGTGGTGCTCCTCGCGCGTGACGGTCAGCGTGACGGCCGAGGGGCACATGATGAGCAGGGCCAGGGCCCAGATGACCGCGATGGTGACCAGCGCCTTCCGCAGGGTCAGCTTCTCGCGGAAAGGGTGCACGATGCAGCGGAACCTGCGGCGACAGAGGAAAGAGAAGCAGGGGTCTGGGCGGGTCCCAGGGGTCCCAGTGGCCCCACGGATGAGAGCCATCCCCGATTGAGGGCGGAGGGCTGGGAGCGGGGTAGGGGCACTCCACCTTCGACCTTGCACCTTAGGTGGCATCAAAGAAGGCTCAGATGTTAATTAAGTTCGTTTGCAAGGAAACTGGTTTCTCACCTGTTGGGGAGTCAGCTCCTCGGCTGAGTAGCCACGCAACAAAGGCAAAAGGAGGGTTTTACAAGAGCTGAATCCTGTTTGTGCACTTCGGGGGATAAACATTAGCTGGCAGGTGTAAGGTCGGATCTTAACAAAGGGCACCTCGAAACAGGAAAGCTTCAAGTGAGCTTTATTAGGGAGCGATCCAGGGCGAGGTTCACTGGTCCGAGAGAAAGGAGCCAGAGAAGTCGCACCCGGGCGAGGGTTGGGCAAGATTTTATAGGGGAAGAAGGGAAAGGGGTGTGGTGAATCTGGGAGGGCGCAGGGTATTTCTTATTTGGTGGTCTTTTCGGGTATCCTGGGGGACCGTTAGTCCCGCCCCTCGAAAGGCGGGAAGGCTGGGCCGGGTGCAAAGTCCGCAGGTCAGTTTCTGGAACTGGGTGGTCCGGAGAGTTTCGGTCTGATGCAACCTGTGAATCTGATTGTGTTCCCCTGCCTCGGGCCAGTTGGCCTTACATCCCGACATCTTTGGTGTAATGGGGCGGCGTTCTGATCTCTGGCTACTTCATGCTGAATGGGGGCGTCGAAAAGGGAGTCGGGCGACCAGAGGTCCGAGGCTTAGAGGAGACCAGTGGGGGGTTCTGTAGGAAGCAAGGTGTAAGGGCCGAGGAGCATTTGGTTTGTGGCCACCCGAGAGACTTCCTCCACGCGCCTGCGAAGGAACCTAAGAAAACAGGGAGCGAGTGTGCTACGAAGAGGGTGCAGTCCGGGTTTGAAAGAGGGGTGTCAAAGAGTCTCTCTCTTGGTGGTTTGAAGGCTTCTATGACATGAGGGCAGGAATGGGATGGAAACCCCCCGGTGCCAGAGATGGGCAGGAGGGAAGCCGGGTTCAGGTGAGGGGAGAGATCAAGAGAAATAGCTGGGTTTTCAATGAACAGTAGGTGGAACTCCTGGATGCGGGAGGGGCCCAGGAGGGAGAGAGACTTGTGGCCTAGGAGGTCGACCAGCCGGTGGGAGGAAAACACGGTTAGTGAGTGGGTGGGCCAGAGTCAGTTTGAGTGTTTGTTTGGTCAGTTCAGCTGCTGCTGCTAGGGCCCAAAGGCATGGTTGCCATCCCCGAATGGTTGGGTCTAGCTGTTTGGAGAGGTGAGCCACAGGGCGGTAGGAAGCCCCTACAGGCTGGGCAAGGAGTCCAGTGGCTATTCGCAGGTTGCAGAGCTATAAGTCCGCACATTCTGTCCTTGAGTAGGCCGATCGGGTAGGTGTATCAGAGAAAACAATTTTTAGCTGTTTATGGCTTCTCCAGAAAATCTTGGGGGTTCAGGTGTAGAGTCTACATGACAGGTTGTCCCTATGTCACCTTGGCCAGCGTCCTTCCAACAGTGCCTCCACAGAATTAGGACAGACCTGCACCATTTCCTCATTAGGATGTCTCAGCAGTGATTATTATTACACCCTTAATTTACATCTGAGGAAACTGGGATTCAGAGGTAATAAGTAACTGGCTCAAGGTCACACAGCTAGCAAGTAGCAAGGACCAGCCTTGAGCCCAGATTTGTGTTGCTCCGCTGTGCCATATAAACCTGCAGCCGGAAACCCTCACTGTGCATTAGGCTCTCCTGAAGCATTTAAAAAAATACCTGTGCCCAGTTCTCCTGGTCGAGGATGCCAATCTGATTAGTCTAAGGAAGTCATGGGGCAGTTTAGGAGCTGAACCTAGACTAGAACACAGGCCTAGAGCTGACTCCCAGCCATGTTGCTCTTTCTACTTCAGCAAACTGTGTCCTGCTCTCCCGACTCCCCACCCTTTCCCCGGCCTGACAACACTTTCTACTTTCCCCACAGCCAGTCTCAAGCCTTGTTTTCTCAACCTACCTGACTCTGGCCTACTGGTCTCATAGCATCACATACTTAAGGAATTGCCAGAGAACAAATAATTCTTAAAGCACATAGTACTGGCTGTAAGTGCAATAGCACTTAATGGATGGAGGGGAATCCTGGGGCAGACCAGGAAGACTTCCTGGAGGAGACAGGAACTTGAAGAATAGTCCAAACACTACTGGGAGACACTGCACACTCACCTATCGTTAACGATGACAACAAAATGAAGATCAGTGAAGGAGGCCTTGCAGACAGGAACCCAGTTCTATCTCCCCAGCTGCCTACTTCACTGGGTCACAAAAGGCTGGGTTTGATGAGGGCCAAAGTGGAGAGAGGATGAAGACACTAGATTCTAGAAAGGGTGGAGCCAGTAGGTGCCCATGTTGGGAAGCAGACAAGGAGGAGGGTGTGGGTGTAAGGAAGAAATAGAATAATATTAACAGCTGACATTTGGTCTCTGTGCCAGGTGGTGTGTATCAGCTTCACAAACAGAAGTTCACTGAAGCCTCTCAGCCACCCTGTAGGATATTTACCATTTTACAGATGAGAAGACTGAGACTCAGAGCAGTTAATTGACTTAACCAAGGTCATGCAGCTAGGCAGCCCTCCAGCTTACCTGCCTGCCTCCCTTGCCCTGGGGGAAGTGCCTGGAGTGAACCCTTATTGAAAGGGCTCACTGAGAGGGAGGATGGAGAGGAGGACCTACTGCAGTTGGGTCGGATGTGTTGCCGGCAAAGAAAGCCTCCTTGGTCCCTGGCTCCATTCCATTGGCAGACCCATGCTTATCAGAGAATCTGATGGAATCTGAGGCGGAAAGACCAGAAGTAGCTGGACACAGTGGAGATGGGGAATCAGGGACCTGCAAGGAGGCCTGCTGCTCAGGAAACAAGGACTGCCCCCAAGCTCCTCTTAGGGCCCAGGAATCCCTCTTAAACCTCCTCAGGAGCTGCCTCCGGGCCTTCCAGAAGGAGGTGGCAGTGTCCTCTGCAGTCCCCCAAGTCTAGAAGGCAGCCAGCCCCACAACCCTTGCCTCTGTGGCTCAGGATTCAGCCCCACCGACCACAGAGCAGCCCCGGCCTCCTGGCAGGCCCAGAAGTGGAGACAGCAGCTTGGCCTAGTGCCAGGCCCGGGATAACCAGACAGGAACCTTCTCACCTTTCCACGGCAATGGCCACCAGTGTGAAAACAGAAGCTGACACGGACATGCCCTGCACCAAGCCGCTCATCTTGCATGTGGCGTTGTCGAAGGGCCACCCTGCAATGACAGAAGCAACCAGAGTGAGAGATGCCTCATTCGCAGAGAGCCGGAGACGTCCGGCCATCGGGGCCAGTCTCCTCTGGCTTGCATCTTTCCTCCATGTCCTGCCAGGTCATCATCCTGCCTCTGCTTACACACTTCCAGGAGTGAGGAACTGAGCAGCCAATACCACCGTGGACAGTCCTATTAGAGACAGTCTTTATACTGACCAGCGATTTCTCTCCATGAACTTTAGATCCATCCAGCCCTGCCTGGCTTTCTGCTCCCATAGGCCTGTTCCAGGTTCTAGGCCAGTGGTTCTCAGCCCTGGCTGCTCACTAGAATCAACGGAGAACTTGGAAAAGGACCAGTGCCCAGGCTCACACCAGACAACCGTATTTTCCAAATCTACCCAGGAGATTTGAGTGGCAGTCAAAGTTGAGAACCACTAGGACAGATCAAGCCTGACTGTCAGGCAGGGGGAGGTATAAGCAGCTCTAGCCCCTCCTACCTGATGTCCTCACTCTGATCCCCAAGCTTCTGCTTTCTCATGAGATCTGGGTCCCACCTGCTCTCAGGACTAGTAGCCAGGTCCACATCTTGGCTACCTGAGGCCGTGTGTTGGTAACTGCTTAGTGTTTCTGCCCCTCTAGGCCTGGGGGCAGGGCGGGGGGGCCCACCTTGTTCTTATCTGTTGTGCCTGCAGCAGGAGTCATCTTCCAAGGCTGGGGTCTTCTTTCACCAACGACCTCCCCCATGTTGATTTTCTGCCTGAACACTTACTAGATGCCGAGCACTGGCTCACTCAATCCTCACAGCAGCCCCATTATTCTCTCCTTTTTACAGATGTGAAACTGAGGGGGCGACTAATTGACTTACAGTCTCTTTGTCCCTAAATCACTATGGATTAGTGGTGAGAGTTTGGTCTGGGTGCCAGGGAGTTTAAATGTCATGGAAAGTCAAGATCGCTGTAGACAGCAGCCTGATAGACATGAAAAAAATGTTCAAACCTCATTCATAATTTAAAAAATGCAAATGATATTTGCTGTAGAGAAATAGGAGCTCTCAGACATCGGTGGTGGGAATGAAAACCGGTACAGTCCTTCTGGAGGGGAACTAGGCGATGCCTAACCTCTGCACTTATCTTTTGATCTGACAATCTCACTCTATCCTGAATATACACCTCTGATGACACAAAATACATATGCACAGAGTTATTCATTGTAGCATTGTTGTAATTGCAAAATATCAGAAACAATCGAAATGCCCATATAAAGAAGTTGTTGAATAAACTATGGTACATCCACACAGAAGAGTATTATACAGCTGTAAAAAAGAATAAGGAAGACCTCTATGAACTTATATGAAGAGGTTTTCAAAATATACTGCTAAATGCAAAAAGCACAGTACAAAGAGTATCTATAGTATATTACCCTTCATGTAAGAAAGAAGGGGATATAGGAAAATATACACTTATCTGCTTATTTGTACAAAGGAAGTATAGGAAGGTAGATCAGAAAATAACGAGATTGGCTACCTATACAGGGAGGCGGTAAGAATGAGGAAGAATGGGTAGTAGAGATGACAGAGGAGTGACCCTTCTCTGAGTATATCTTTTTGTATGGATCTGACTCCTTAGAATTATGGCAATGTTTCACATCTTCAAAAAATAAGTTAATTAACATCAGGATGTGGGGGAAACCCAAAGTGGGACACAAACAATACCAAATGAACCTAAGTGCATTACAAATGAATAAAATAACCACACTGAAGGGGAATGGGGAAGCAAGAAACTAACCTCAGTAACTTTGGAAAACAGTATTTTGACCGTATACTATAAGATTACAAAAAGAACTATACACGTACACTACACTCTCATTAATAAATGTGTTTCTCACAAGGGTATGGGTTAGCAATACTGAATCTACCTTATGTGTATACCAAGATGGAACAAATAAGTAAATATATTGTGGATAAATAGAGTTAAATTTCTCACTGTTAGAGAAAGAAGTTACAGGTGAGGAAAAGAGGAAAGTTAAAATGATCCTGTAATATTAGATTGGAATCAGAGGCATAATAGTTTTCAATATACATACAGATGGATAGATATAGAAATAAAGATGCACATGTTAAGTATGTGTGTGTTAGCACACATATATTTCCTAGCTCTGTCCCTCGAGAGGGCCTAGAAGCAATGAAACCCCAGTGCCAACGGTCACATCTAGTGCCAAGGTCTTGGTTTCTAAATGTCATTCTCCAATATAAGGAACCAGACCTTCTTAGAGAAATTGTTGATTGATTCCAGGGCTGGAGCAGGGAACATACAAGGTGAGCCTGGAACACTTTATGGTGCCAGAAAGTAAGGAGAGACTAAAAAAAATCCATGGTGGCATGTCAAAAGGACACAGGAGCCAAATTGAAAGAGCTCCCAATAGTCAAAACTGGGGTCAATTTAAGCAACAAAATAATGGTAAAACTGGGTTATAACCCATAGAGTAAAATAAATGTAGGGGGAATGATGTTAAGTAGAAGATCAACACTGAGGAAATATAACAGTAATAACTGTTGCAGGCAGGAACCATCCAATGGATGCTCTTAGTGAGTAAAAGGATAGTGAGAAACAAGGCATTTGCATAGTCTCAAAGCACCTCCCTATGAGATACTTATTAATTATAAAGGGGAAAATGGTAGCTTTATAATGGAAAAATCTGGCAGACACCACATTAACAAAGTGATCAACATCAACACCACCATTAATACGTATTGATAGTGTGTGCCTTATCAATATGTCTTCTGTAGTATTCTCATCAAATATGCATAAACTAAATCTAATTGTAAGAAAACATAAGGCAAACCCAAGCTTCTGGGGTTTCTGCAGAATAACTGATCAGTATTCTTCAAACACGTCAAGGTCAGGAAAGTCCAGAACCAAGGAACAGTCACAGGTTGGAGAAAACAAACAAACAAAAAACAGATACAATGTATGGCCCTCAGTTGGATCCTGGACTAGAAAAGGACTCCAGGGGACTCCTTTGTGGGGAAAGGAGTGAAATTCAAATAAAGTATGCAGATGAGTTAATAGTATTGTATCAATGCTAATTTCCAGGTTTCAATCATTATACTATGGTTATTTAGGATATTAACATTAAGGGCAGTTAGAATGGGCATCATCAGAAAATCTAACAAACAACAAATGCTGGAGAGGGTTTGGAGAAAAGGAAACCCTCTTGCACTATTGGTGGGAATGTAAATTGATACAGCCACTATGGAGAACAGTATGGAGGTTCCTTAAAAAACTAAAAATAGAACTACCATATGACCCAGCAATCCCACTACTGGGCATATACCCAGAGAAAGCCATAATTCAAAATGACACATGCACCCCAGGTCTTCCCTGGTGGAGCAGTTTAAGAATCCACCTGCTAATGCAGCGGACACGGGTTCAAGCCCTGGTCCGGGAAGATCCCACGTGTCGGGGAGCAACTAAGCCCATGCGCCACAACTACTGAGCCTGCCCTCTAGAGCCCACGAGCCACAACTACTGAGCCCACGAGCCACAACTACTGAGCCCACATGCCACAACTACTGAAGCCTTCGTGCCTAGAGCCCGTACTCCTCAACAAGAGAAGCCACTGCAATGAGAAGCCCGCACACCACAAAGAAGAGTAGCCCCTGCTCACCGCAACCAGAGAAAACCGGTGTGAAGCAACGAAGACCCAACACAGCCAATAATTAATTAATTAATTATTTTTAAAAAGACACATGCACCCCAATGTTCATTGCAGCACTATTTACAATAGCCAGGTCATGGAAGCAACCTGTGTCCATCAACAGAGGAATGGATAAAGAAGATGTAGTACATATATACAATGGGATATTACTCAGCCATAAAAAGGAATGAAATTGGGTCATTTGTACAAATGTGGATGGACCTAGAGACTGTCATACAGAGTGAAGTAAGTCAGAAAGAGAAAAACAAATATCGTATATTAATGCATATATGTGGAATCTAGAAAAATGGTACAGATGAACCAGTTTGCAAGGCAGAAATAGAGACACAGATGTAGAAAACACAGGTATGGACACCAAGCAAGGAAAGCAGGGGGTGGGGGGCGGGTGGTGGGATGAATTGGGAGGTTGGGATTGACATATATACACTAATATGTATAAAATAGATAACTAATAAGAACCTGCTGTATAAAATATAAATAAAATAAATTTAAAAGAAATAAAAGCTTAATCTCCTCCAGGAAAAAGAAAATAATAATAACATTAAGGGAAGGTAAGTGAAGAGTATACAGGAACACTCTACCATTTTTGCAACTTTTCAGTACATCTATCTAAAATTATTTCAAAATAGAAAGTAAAAGAAAGCAAAACAAAACACACCCAGATTCAAAAGGCTTCATACTGTATGAGTCCATTTATATAATATTCTTGCAAAGGCAAAACAATATTTTCTGTCCCTACAGGAAAACAGACCAATGGTGCCAGGGAGCAGAGGGAAGAAGCAACTACAAAGGAACAAGGGGGAGTTTGGGGGGGACAATGAAGTTGTTCTATATCTTGATTGTAACTACATGACTGTATATGTTTGTCAAAACTTGTGGAGCTGTACACTAAAAAGGGTGGGTTTTTTGTATGTTAAATTATACCTTAACAAAATATTTAAATGTAAAACATGCACACATGTATGATGCACATTTTGTAAGAATGCATGCAAATCACAAACATTACATTTAATAGAATGTTTGCCTGTCAGTGGGGGAGGGGGTTTGGAGTGGGGTAAGGGTACAGAAGGGAATGAATAAAGATACACAAGGGGCTTCCCAACACGGTGAAGTCACATAGTGCCAGGAACAGTGGATGCGAATAATTCAACTCTCTGCACCTGAATTCAAAAAAACAGAAACAAAGACAAAGAAAGAAAAGCTATGTGAAGTTTTCTTTTCTTGCAGAAGATTCTATTAGAAACAACGTAAATACCCATCAAAAAGAGATTGGTTAAATAAATTGTAGTACATCTATACAATGGAATTCTAAACAGTTGTAAAAAAAGAATAAAAACCTCTTTCATTTATTAGTATGGAGTAACTTACTCTATGTAAGTTAATTTTAATGAATCCTATTTACAAATTACATTTTTAAGCAGGGAAAAAGTGAAGGTGCAGAACTGACTGGTTAGAAAGTTAGCATTTCCTTAATTTGCTTGTACTTATATAAAATATTTTTGGAAAGTGCTTGTACTTACACCAAGTATTTTGGGGAAGACATACAAGACACGGGCAGCATCAGTTCCCTCCCAGGAGAGAGCTGGAAGCCCAGAGCACAGAAGTGGAAGGAGCACTTTTCACTGGATACCTTTTGTTAGCTTTTGACCATTGAACCATGTGAATGTGTTGTCAATTTAAACAATTTTTTAAATTTACACATGTGAAAAGGACCGGCAGACACCACCTTAACCCACTAGTGACCTCACCATATCATTGTTAACTGGTGTGTGTGTGCGTGCGTGCGCCTGTATGTGTGTGCACCTCTGCACGTGTGTGCATGCATGCATATGTTTGCCTATGTGTTTTGGGAAGAAGGATGCAGTTTCTGTTCAGCAGCCCTGAAAGAACCTGGGATTCAGCTGTGATTAAAGATCCCACCAGGCACAGCCAGTACAGCCGACGGGAAGCTGGCAGCCCCGGCTCCACTTTCTGGGTCCTGGAACCTACAGAAACATAGGCTGCTAGTCCCCCAGCCTCAAGTCCGCTAAGTCACTCCATATGGGGCTGTCCATTTGAATCCTGAGTTCCTGGGAGCTCTGAGCTCAGAACCTGCAGGCACAGACCTCTAGGGGTCTCCACAGCTCTGGAAACTAGTCCTTCCCACCAGTTAGTCTGTGGAGGCTTATTCTGAAGTAAGAAAGGTAAATCACAGGGGAGAGAATAGATGACGGTAGGATCCTTCTGATATCTGCAGGATGATAGGCAGGAATTTAGCGTTCGGCTGGTCTAGTTCTGCTTGGATCCCTTCTACAAAATCCCTGCTAAACAGCCATCCAGTCCCTACTTAGACACTCCCAGTGACAGGGAGCACAATACCTGTAGGAGAGAACACTCTTTTGTTGGAAAACAACTCAAATAAGTTTTTAGGTCCTTGTTCAGAGGAAACCTGCCTCCCTCCCGCTTCTTCCCGCTGGCTCTAGTTCTGCCCAAGGGAGCTACCTGGGAGAGTAGGACTGAACAGTGTAGTGGTTAGAAATATAGATGTGTGAATGTGGGACTTGACACTTAGCTGTGTAAACTACAGACCTGCCCCTTAATCACTCTGCGCATCCGTTTTCTCATCCATACATTGGGGGTAACAATAACGCATACTTCATTGGGTTGTTGTGAGGATTAGTTAAGATCATGCAGGAAGAGTAAATCACACAATGCCTGGAACATAGAAAATGATTAATTCATTACATCTGTTATTTCTAGTCCCTCGGCCACAAGGCTGTCCTGAGATTGTGAGACAATGGCATCTCGGCCAAGAGACCAGGCCAGCCATGATTTCAGGGGTAGGGGTACTCCCGCTGCCTCTAGTGCTTCCACTCACCAGTGATGAGGTTGTCCACGAGGGTGGTGGGCATGCAGAAAATGCCCACCAGCAGGTCGCTGACGGCCAGGTTGAGGATAAACATGTTGGTGACGGTGCACATGTGCCGGTTCTTGAGCACAATGAAGCAGACCAGGGTGTTGCCCACCATGCAGAGGAGGAAGATGAGCGCGTAGGCCACAATGAACACGGCAGCCACCAGGGAGGAGTGCTGGTAGTAGGAGGAGAAGGTGAGGTTTGCAGCAGTGTTGGCCTCGGCATCACTCCCATTCTGGCATGGGGGCCGGCTGCTGTTGGAAGGCTGGGAGGGCTCCCCTAGGAGCAAAGGAGCACACGGGTCAGGACCCCAGGCGAAGAAGAGATGACAGACTTCTCACCGCTGGCGAGATCCTTCTGCGCTCCAAACCCTGCCCCTGCCCTAATACTCAGATCATGTACTCAACTCCAACTGCAACTGGATGCGCTGATGCAAGACTTCTCCCCCACAGCCACTCAAACCCTGATCTCACACCTCCCACCCCGTCTTGTCCACCACTCATTTCATTTCCCAATGTTGGCTCTTCTCCATTTGCAGACAATCCCCCTCTGCCCCATCTAGCCTCCATCCTTCTCAGCCCTGCTCTCTGCCCCAGAGGCTGACTTCTCAGGACTACATTACATCAGGACTGTATGACCCAAGTTCCCTTGCGCTCTGGGCTGTTTGCTTGTTTGTTTGTTTGTTTACTGGTGTATAGTTGATTTACAATGTTGTGTTAGTTTCTGCTGTACAGCAAAGGGAGTCAATTATACGTATACATATATCCACTCTTTTTTAGATTCTATTCCCTGCCCTCTGGTTTTTGACTGGGTTCAGCCAATGGGAGGCACTGAAGGAGCTTGAAGGAATGAAGGAGAGAGAAGTCAGGGTATTCATCTCCTGACTCCGTCCCTGCCTGGACCAGGTCTCCTGTGGGGCTGTCTTTATGGGCACAGCTCCTGCTGGGTGACTCCTCTCCCACGGCTCCAGCTCTTGCAGAGCCACAGTGACACCGTTCCCTCTCTGCACTGACCGCTTCCTGTGACTGCCAGTTGCTGGGTGAGTCACCATCCCATGCTGGTTCTCCTGCCTTCCACTACCCACTGTAAAGTCTCTCTATTAAACTCTCTTCTGTTAAATCCTTTCTGAGTGCACCACTTGTTTTCTTCTGGGATCCTAACTATTAGACCCTCAAAATCTTTGCTATCCCTCATCATCATGTCCACAGAACTTTAGTTGGGGAAGGCAAGAAGGCCGTAGAGGGAGAGAGAGCAAAAGGGGACTCTGAACCAGGGCTGAGGATCAAAGAAAGCACACGTTAAATTCTCCAGAAGATCATCCGAAGCCAAGGCCACCACCCATCCTTTACCTCCTCCCATGGCGGTATCAGCTGCCTCATTTGCACAGCATTTAACAAAGCGCTTCCGTGTCTATTATTTGATCTAAGCCTCCCCGTTACCCCATGAGGTAAACAGGTTAGGTATTAGCCCCATTTGAAATGGGAGAACTGGGATCAGAGGGGTTCCCAGACTCGCTCAAGGGGACACAGGAGTCTGCAACAGAGTTGGCCCTGCTCCGTGTGTCTCTAATTCATCCCAGGCTTCAGTGTGTGTCTCTCTAGACACGTATGGAAGGGAGCGGCAGAGTGTCCAACCACAGCTCTTCTGGGAAGTCCCTAGTTATGGTGACTCATGATGTCGTCTTGTAAACTCTCCTCCTGCCTTCCTCTGGGACTGAATGTGGCCTGTTCCAGGAGATGAGGAGTCTTTAGGGGAATCTTCTGTTGCATCCAGAGCTCAGCCACTGGCCTGGAGGACGGCCAGAGGCTTGGGACCTGGAGGCTAGAAAGACCCTGGGGGAGCACAGGCCGATGACCTGGCACAGTGGGGACAACAGGGACCAGCAGGTGCAGCGGGGCACTCAGGAGGGGGGTGGAGGGACTGCCGGTGGAGGGGGAGAAGCTGGAAGTTTTGGGTGCACAGTGAGAAGAGGAAATGATATTCCCCTGCTTAGGCCCTCCAGGTGCAGCCAGTAGTACCCAAACATCTTTATTTTAATATGTCAAACACGTACAAGAGAGAATGTAATAGTGAATATATACAAGAGTATATAGTTTAATGAACCATGACAAGAGAGAAGAGTATAAAGAACGCCCATGTATACATCGTCCACCTTCAACAATTACCAGCTCAAGGCCAATTCTGTTTCGTCCATACCCACACCTCTCTTTGGATTATTCTGGGGCACAATCACATCACTTCCTTTCATTCATAAATATTTCAGCTTGTATCTCTAAAAATTAGGACTCAAGAAAAATCCATAACCCAGTATCATTATCACACCTAACAAAATTAACCATTATGTCACAGTATTATCAATTATCCAGCATTCAAAATTCCCTCATTGTTACAGAATTTTTTAAATAATTGGTTTGTTTGAGTGAGGATCCGAACAAGGTTTCTGTTTCTATTCCGTATTATGTGGTGAACCACCCCCAAATCTCGTGACATGGCACTGTGGCTTAGGAATCTGAGTGGCCCTTCTGCAGGTCTCTCATGGGATCACTCATGCAGCTGTGGTCATCTGATGGCTCAGCTGGGGCTGGCAGGTCCAAGATAACCTCCCTCACAAGGCTGGTGGTTGGTGCTACGGTGTCTTAGTTCCCCTCCATGTGGCCTCTCATCTTCCAAGAGGCTAGACTGGGCTTTTTTTTTTTTTTTTGGTGATACGCGGGCCTCTCACTCTTGTGGCCTCTCCCGTTGTGGAGCACAGGCTCCGGACGCGCAGGCTCAGCAGCCATGGCTCACGGGCCCAGGTGCTCTGCGGCATGTGGGATCTTCCCGGACCAGGGCACGAACCCGTGTCCCCTGCATCGGCAGGCGGACTCTCAACCACTGCGCCACCAGGGAAGCCCTAGGTGGTCTCTTTCTTAACGCTAAGGTTGATCAGTGGGCTTAGCTGATGTCAGCCTGATCCCTCCACTGTCAAGTTCCCCATTAGCTTTTCACCAATGTTTTCAGCAGGAGCCACTAACAATTATTGCCTAGACTCCTCATTGCATCTCGAATACAATCCAAACTCTTTACTGCATGGTCTGATTCCTGTTGTCATCACTGGCCTCACCCCCTGCTACTCTCCCCTTTGCCCTTTGTGCTCTGGTCACCTCGTGATGCCTCCAACACATTCTTGCTCTTTCCAATCTCAATGTCTTTATCTCTTTCGATTCCCTCTGCCTCTTCTCTTCCTTTAGCTGTCAATTAAACATTGTCTTCTCGGAGAAGCCTGTACCCGATTACTCTATTTAATTTAGGTGCCCCATTATTATCTCTCACAGCATCCTGCTTATTTTCTTCAATCTGCCGATATTTTATTTGTTTCCAGGTTTATTGGTTTTTTCCTCCACCTTTGAAAGTCAGGTCCTGGAGAGCAGGGATCTTCACTCTTTCGTTGGTGGTCATATCCGCAGCATCTCGTCAGGGCCTGACAACTGTAAATGCTTTACTAAATGGTTGTTGAATGGATAAATATTTGTATGAGGAGAAAAAGGAAGGAAAGACAAATCCTGACATCAGGTGACAGGGTCCTGCTCAAGGCTGGCATTTCTGGTGTTGGAAGGCCTTCTCCAGGGTCCTCTGGAAAGAACTCCGCATCACAGAGTCTGCTGGGAGCCTCCCTAGATAGCTCACCCTTGATGAGCCTCAAAAATCAACCCGCATGACTTGGGGAAATCTGTGGGTGTGGATGGGTAGAGGGAATTGCCAGAACCTGCCCAGCTAAACTCTAGTCTGCCTGTTTCCCCCACTGCCTTTCATTTGGCCCTGAGAAGTCTGGGAGCAACCCTGCCCATCCCTGGACCTTGAGCCTGAGCATCCGTCTCTATACTTAGGCCAGTCTCTGGCATTTATTCTCAAGGAGAAAAACTGCTTCCTATTCCTGGCAACTCCCCTGGCCTGTGGTGAGATGGGTTGGAGGCAGGCAGGCCTCCCACCCGACCTGGGCCCCAAGCCAGCAGCCGGAGACCTCATTAACAACTGGCCTCGTCCTTCCTGGGATCTGCCTGGTGCCTTTGTGGATACACTACAGCCTGTGAAAATTTCATCCACTGAACCCAACTGAGCCATTCCTCTACTCGGGGAGCTTCCTGGAGGTCTCAGGAAGCTGAGATATGGTTATCTCCAGGGCATTCTGATGATCTCAGAGATCAAGCTGTGAGCCACTGAAAGTTTGGGGCCAGAGAGAAGATGGGGGGGCACTGGTTCTCAGTGTGTGGTCCACCGCCAGCAGCATCAGCTTCGCCAGGAACTTGCTAGAAATGCAGATTCTCAGGAATCACCCCCGATCTAGGGAACCAGAAACTCCAGGGAACCAGAAACCAGGTATCTCTGTTTTAACGCATCTTCCAGGTGATTCTGATGGACACTCCAGTCTGGGAACCACAGATAAAGGAGTTGGACCAAAGACCCTGAAGGTAGTGGATGCACACAGACTGGAAAACCCCGGCTCTCCTTCCTGGTGACTTCAGGCAATAGATGGAATATCTGTGTCCCCTCAAAATTCATATGCTATAACCTTTTCCCCAGTGTGATGGTATTTGGAAGTAGGGCCTTTGGGAGGTATAGTTGACCCTTGAACAACACATGGGGTGGTTAGGGGCTCGGACCCCTGTGCAGTCGAAAATCCGAATAGAACTTTACAGTCGGCCCTCCGTATCTGTGGGTCCACATCCACGGATTCAACGAGCCACAGATCGTTCAGTACTGTAGTACACATCTACCAAAAAACAATATCTGGGTATAAGTGGGCCAACGCAGTTCAGACCCATGTTTTTCAAGGGTCAACTGTAATTAGGTCATGAGGGAAAGCTCTCATGAATGGGATTAGCGCCTTTATAAAAGAGATCTCAGAGAGTTCCCTTGCCCCTTCCACCACCTAAGGACACAGGGAGCCCGTGTGTGAACTAAGAAGCGGGTCCTCACCAGACACTGGATTGGCCCCTCGATCTTGGACTTCCCAACCGCCAGAACTGTAAGAAGTAAATTTCAGTTGTTTATAAACCACCCAGTCTATGGTATTTTGTTATAGCAGCCCAAGCTGACTAAGACATCGCCTCATCTATGTGGGAACTTATTGTTCTCATCTTTAAAGTGGAAACACACAATTCCTGGCTATGACCTCGGGTAAGTCATCACCCCTCTGGAAACCAAAGTCTTCACTGGCAAAATGGAGATAAGCTCACACTTACTGAAAAGAGTGAGATAACGTAAGAAGAGAACTCGGCGAAATATGGGACACATGGCACTCAATACGTGTTAGCCCAGCAGCAGCCCTACTGACAGTATTAAACTGCACCATGAACCTGAGCATGATATTTTTATAATACTTTTAGTGTGGGCCTCCCTGCAAAGCCTGAAAGATAAATCAACACCAAAATGAAGTTCCTGAGCACAGAATCCGTCTGGGTACGCCTCTGAGTTCACAGCTCTCCCACTAATACCTTCATCGTTATAGCCACCTGCTTGTCTGTCCCGGTACCACCACCTAGGAGCTCAGCCCCAGACTAGAGACCTGGGTTCACCATTCAGCACCCACTTCCCAAAAGCCTCCTGGGTGAACACAGCCTGGGCCATGAGCCACTGGGGACCCACAGAAGAACACAACACAACACAGTACAAATGACTAATGAACACATGAGACAAAGAAGTTCTTTTGTAATCAGAGAAATGCAATTTTAAAAGAACACAGGGGTAAGCTTTCCATCAATCAGATTCACAGAGAGGAAAAGCGCTCAGTGACGCCAGAGGGTGGCTGTGCACTGTGGGGCGTTGGAGAGACACACATCCGCTCAGCCTTTGCAACTGGGGCACATCCATTCAGCACCCTGACACCAGACTCACACCCGGAGCCAGGCGTTCCACTTCTAGGGATTCACCTAAGGAATAGAACAAGTTCTGATGGTGTGAGGGAAAATACTGGCCAAGGTTGAAATGCTTACAAAATAGTATGTACACGCATTATAAACTGTATTGCGTATAAAAGTGTGTGTGTGTCATTCCAAACAAATGACGAAAAATAAACAAAAAAACGTTAACAGTGTATATTCACAGCGGGTGTTTTAAGCGACTCTTATTTTCCTTTTCACTAAACTGAGTTTTAACCATTCTAATCAGTAGGAAACTGATAAATATGATTAAAATACTCACTACTTCAGTGGTTCTCAACTCTGACAGTGTCTCTGGCAGCATTTCTGGGGGCACGGAAAAGCAGAACCCACCTGGACTTCCAAGAAGCTTCTGTGTCCCGTGCTGGAGGGACACCAGCTAGCTTGCTCCTCTCCCCTCCTCTCTCCAGTGACCTTCCCCCGCATGGGCCACTTCCCCAC